TCATCCCCCATCCGAGAGCGGCCTGTATTGGATGTGTCCGACGAACCTGTGGGGAGGTCACAAGTGCGCGTGTCCCAGAGATCTGCCCCCCGTGTGCCTGCAGGATCGCCCTTTTTGGGCAGGGTTACCGACCGGACGCCGATTGAACGGCCACAGATCCGGACCAATGGCCGTCCCGACCGTGAACGACGGACAGCCCCGCCAGCTGAGTGTCGCTGGGACAGGGATGGGCGTAGGGTTCGTTGGCAAGACGAGCGAGGCCCTCCCTTACCGCAGGGTATCCCGTGCAGGGGAGATGGACCGGCATCGGGAACCCGTTCCAGGAGGAATACAATACGTTGACTTTGGGGGTTGGGAATTCTGTATAAAGGTGTTGTGTGCGTGTCGTTGTGTGGTTGTACAAAATGGTTGTGTATTGCAAATGCGTTATGTATATATGTTGTCATCGTTCCGTCTGCTTCACTCCACTACTCCAATTCGAGTATATCGTAGCCGGGGACGGCTAGGTTCTTTCATCACGGGGGGGGGGGGGGGTGATGTAGTGGAGTGAACGATACGCATAGGAATTGGCCACATACAGTACATACAGACATACAAGGAGAGTGGGTCACATGAGGTCGAACAGGTGGTCGAGTCACGGGTGGCGTAAACAACCCGAAGTAATTAAGGGAGTCGTGGCACGAGGGCTGTGATTGGTCGAGAGGCTGTTAGCGTTAAGTGGCGAGGTCTCGAAGTCTGACCGAGGGGACAGGTGCGAGCTGGCGGGAAAATGCCAGCGAGCCACGTGGCAATTAATTAAGGCTAATTGGAAAGGGGATAAAACGCTAGGTGATTTGAACGGAGAGGGAGTTGTTGCTGGGCAGTTGTTGGCGAGAGGTGGAGAGATACGAAGAGGACAGCTGACAGTGTTAGGGAAGAATAGATTGAGAGCCGAACCCAAAGGACAGTAAATAGCGATAGGGAGAGTTAGCGTTAGCGGAGAGGTAGTTACGGGGGAGATAGGTACAGGGAGAGTTACAGATAGAGTCACTGTGTGTGCGGAGATAGATAGCATCACTGTGTGTGAATAGACAGGCAAGTCACTGTGTGTGCGGAGATAGAGGAAGTCACTGCGTGTGAAGAGATAGCGGAGATACTGTGTGTGAGGAGATAGAGAAAGAACCACTGTGTGTGGAAGAAGATGCGCGGACGATGCTGAGGTGAATCGGAGTGTCCGAGTTGGCGGAGAGCGAAGAGGAGAATTACTGTGTGTACGGAACGATGGAATAAAAGTGACGGTGGAAGAAAGACGGTTGTCGTCCGAGTGAATTCACGGCACTACACATATAACAATAACCCTATGTGTCCTGACTTTTGGGCCACCCTGTATAACAATAACCCTATGTGTCCTGACTTTTGGGCCACCCTGTATAACAATAACCCTATGTGTCCTGACTTTTGGGCCACCCTGTATAACAATAACCCTATGTGTCCTGACTTTTGGGCCACCCCGTATAACAATAACCCTATGTGTCCTGACTTTTGGGCCACCCTGTATAACAATAACCCTATGTGTCCCGACTTTTGGGCCACCCCGTATAACAATAACGCTATGTGTCCTGACTTTTGGGCCACCCTGTATAACAATAACCCTATGTGTTCTGAGTTTTGGGCCACCCTGTATAACAATAACCCTATGTGTCCTGACTTTTGGGCCACCCCGTATAACAATAACCCTATGTGTCCTGACTTTTGGGCCACCCTGTATAACAATAACCCTATGTGTCCTGACTTTTGGGCCACCCTGTATAACAATAACCCTATGTGTCCTGACTTTTGGGCCACCCTGTATAACAATAACCCTATGTGTCCTGACTTTTGGGCCACCCCGTATAACAATAACCCTATGTGTCCTGACTTTTGGGCCACCCTGTATAACAATAACCCTATGTGTCCCGACTTTTGGGCCACCCCGTATAACAATAACGCTATGTGTCCTGACTTTTGGGCCACCCTGTATAACAATAACCCTATGTGTTCTGAGTTTTGGGCCACCCTGTATAACAATAACCCTATGTGTCCTGACTTTTGGGCCACCCCGTATAACAATAACCCTATGTGTCCTGACTTTTGGGCCACCCTGTATAACAATAACCCTATGTGTCCCGACTTTTGGGCCACCCCGTATAACAATGACCCTATGTGTCCTGACTTTTGGGCCACCCTGTATAACAATAACCCTATGTGTTCTGAGTTTTGGGCCACCCTGTATAACAATAACCCTATGTGTCCTGACTTTTGGGCCACCCTATATAACAATAACCCTATGTGTCCTGACTTTTGGGCCACCCTGTATAACAATAACCCTATGTGTCCTAATTTTTGGGCCACCCTATATAACAATAACCCTGTGTGTCCTGACTTTTGGGCCACCCCATATAACAATAACCCTATGTGTCCTAACTTTTGGGCCACCCTGTATAACAATAACCCTGTGTCCTAACTTTTGGGCCACCCTATATAACAATAACCCTATGTGTCCTGACTTTTGGGCCACCCCATATAACAATAACCCTATGTGTCCTGACTTTTGGGCCACCCTGTATAACAATAACCCTGTGTCCTAACTTTTGGGGCACCCTATATAACAATAACCCTATGTGTCCTAACTTTTGGGCCCCCCTGTATAACAATAACCCTATGTGTCCTGACTTTTGGGCCACCCTGTATAACAATAACCCTGTGTCCTAACTTTTGGGCCACCCTATATAACAATAACCCTATGTGTCCTGACTTTTGGGCCACCCCATATAACAATAACCCTATGTGTCCTAACTTTTGGGCCACCCTGTATAACAATAACCCTGTGTCCTAATCTTCTTTGGTTCTTTCGGTAAAGTCACGTAGAATGATAATAAAATAATAAATTGATAAAATAAAATAACGCAATAATATTCTCACGACGTTTCAGCCACAACACAAGCGGCCTTCATCAGGTGAAGGGGGCGAGACTGTCTGGTAGGACAGCACTGGAGTGAAAGAGCCACGTTCAGATCACGGCCTTTAAGCTGTGTGAGAGGAACAAAGCGCCTTGACAAAGGTATTAGCATATAATTTAGCATTGAAATGGCTGAATGATTAGCTTGTGACGGGTCACAGAAATAGCTATGTTAAAAGTTAAAGCATACACACCCGCAGAGGCACCCATTGTTAAAGGAATTAGCATAGAATTTAGCATTGAAATAGCTAAGTTAAGGCATACACATCCGCAGAGGCACCCCTTGACAATGGAATTAGCATAGAATTTAGCATTGAGATAGCTGAGTGATTTGCTTGTACCTGCTGCAGAAATAGAGCTTGTACCTGCTGCAGAAATAGCTACGTTAAAGTCAGAGCATACACATTCACCGAGGCCCTTAGTACAAATCAAACAGGAGAATTTAGCATTGAAATAACTAGGCGAATCCAGCATTGAAACAACTGAGTGATTAGCTAGTGACTGGTCACAGAAATGACTACACATCTGAGCTATTCACAGTACTATATAGTGAACCAATAAAAACTAAAATATAAATTACCTTCATGTTATCAATAAACTCTATATTCTCCAATCAGCTAAGCTACCAACAATAAGTCGTTATATATCACAATGCTATATGGCGAAAAAATGGGTGGATTCTTACCCTCAAATTTCAGCACCACGGATAGCTACGGGCCCCGTTCAGACGGACGAGTTCGTCCATGGTCGGAACAGAGGAGGGGGAGAGAGACAGCTGCGAGGCCCTAGTATGCTCCATGTTGTAAAACTATACCATTAACCGTGGTGTGAGAGGTATTAAGAGGCAATGCTGGCGAAAGAGCTGCGGTCTGAAGGTCATCGTAAAAATACAATTAATTAAGAACAGAAATGATTTAAAACATCTTTCCAGTGGTTACTAAGCCTGAATCCATCTTCTCGGTTGAAATTGTCTCTGTGCTTGTATATGTGAATGGCCTCATGAACGAATCTCTCATGGTAGCCGGTTGGTTTGCAAAGAACCTCCGTCTTGGAGAAGTCAATGTCATGTGAGCCCACTGAATTATAACAGTGATCTGCCACGGCAGAGGAGTTCGTCCTACCGTGTTTCAAGTCTGCTTTGTGTTCGCGGATGCGGTCCGAGATATGTCTTTTGGTTTCTCCAATGTAGCTACTACCACAGAGGCACTTTAGTTTGTAAACGCCCAGGTACTGTATGTCTGGAACAGCATCTTTTACAGATGGAACTAAATCACGGATTTTATGTACTGTGTTGAATCGGACCTGGATCTTGTGTTTGTTCAGGATTTTGGAGATCTTTTTAGTGACCCCTGCAATGTAGGGTAAGGTGATGGTTTTGAGTGGCTCCACAAGAGGATCCTTCTTCATGACTGGAGTGATGGCTTTGCGGATTGTGTAGTCGGAGTAGCCATTAGCCCTGAGAGCCTGGTGTACGTGCTTGAGTTCACTGGTAATGTGTTCCTGGTCGGAAATGTATTGGGCTCTATGGTATAGAGTCTTGATGAGGGAGTTCTTCTGGGATGGATGGTGGTGGGAATCCGGTTTCAAGTAAGCATCTGTATGGGTAGCTTTCCTGTAGACAGAGTGGCTCATTGAACCATCATGTCTTCTTTTAATTAAGACATCCAAAAAGGGTAGTTTGCCATCTTTTTCGACCTCCATGGTAAATCTGATGGCTGGGTGTATGGAATTGATGTGGGCCACCCTATATAACAATAACCCTATGTGTCCTGACTTTTGGGCCACCCCATATAACAATAACCCTATGTGTCCTGACTTTTGGGCCACCCTATATAACAATAACCCTGTGTCCTAACTTTTGGGCCACCCTATACTGTATAACAATAACCCTATGTGTCCTGACTTTTGGGCCACCCTATATAACAATAACCCTATGTGTCCTGACTTTTGGGCCACCCTATATAACAATAACCCTATGTGTCCTGACTTTTGGGCCACCCTATACTGTATAACAATAACCCTGTGTGTCCTAACTTTTGGGCCACCCCATATAACAATAACCCTGTGTCCTAACTTTTGGGCCACCCTATACTGTATAACAATAGCCCTATGTGTCCTAACTTTTGGGCCACCCTGTATCTCACCCTACCCCCTATTTTAGAGCGCTTCCTCCCAGCCCCAACCCACCCTGATTCGGCTCTTTATACCTCTTCCTCAACTTTCGATTTCATCACGAACTGTTTCTTATTGGCTCATTCGAAGTCGCGCTTTGCCATTGGCCGGTTCAAAATGTAATGCGATCGTGATGAGCATTGTATTAGGTCGGTTACTCGCTCTGCCACGGTTGTTGAACAGAGATGTAGCCACTGCCCTTAGGGGGCTTGGGACGGTAATGGCGTTGATAATGAAGGGAGAGCAAAGCTTCGTGTGAGGTGAGTTGTAATTTGTAGCATCATTAGCATAATCACCAGCCGTGCTCGATCCGCTGTCTGTTCTGCGCTATGTTCGTGACCCGGTCAATGCATAGATGAGTTGTTTTTTGTGAAAGCAGAAAAGTCCCCCCCCCCCTCCCACTTTCTCTTTCACAGCCGTGTAGTTAACCGTGGGTTTGCATCCATTCAGCTCTGTCCGTGACATTTACTAAACGAGTTGTCGCGTGGATTTTCTCCATGTTTAGAGTATTTGCCTGCTGCTGGATATTTCCACGCGATGATGATGACGATCAGCGACTTGGCTGAACTAATTTGGGATATCCAGGTCGCTTCTGAACAAGAGTTACAGAGCTTAGCGGCATTACCTGGTGACACAAATCGTAGTTTTAAACATCTCGCACGGGGACACTGATGCCTGGGTTCAAAGCCACCTTATTCCAGATATTTTTTTTGTTTAATTTTCTTTGGATGTCATTGACGCCATGGAGAAAATGTCACGTACGGTAAAATAAAATTGGTGACCGATTTCACACCAAAGGAAATGGAAGTTTTCTTTTTAGTGCAGAGTTCACTTAACATCAAAGCGCAATACAGCAAAACATTTCTCTCAAGAAAGAGTAACGCAAATGGTAAACAATATACAGTACATCGTCACCCTGATGGGCAATGTTAGTGCCTTAGGGGGAGAGGCGGGAGAAGGGGGACCAGAGCGGAGGGCCGGGTCCGACGTTTCGGCGCTACTGACGCTATGATTCTTGTAAACCACTACAATAGATGGCAGATGATTAATTACACTATCTAACACGATTTGTGTCCCTGGGTAGTGTTATTTTTTAATTGCTTATGCCTAAAAAGTATAGAAAATGGCTATTATTCCCCACAAACTTTGCTTTCCTTACCAGGACTTTATGTGAACGAAAAGACACAAAAATTCACCAGCTTTCCCATTGAAAATAGGTAAATTTAAAAATATCACTGTCCTCGTCACAAAAGCAAAGTTTGTGGGGAATAATATCCACTTTCTGCACGTTTGAGGCATAAGCAATTAGGAAATAACACTTAGTACTCAGTAACAATTATTTTGTTACACTTATTGTTCGAGCGAAGTTGACATCGTCCCGCTGATGTTAAGGGCCAGGGGATTGTTTACTCCTCATTGTTGTTGCAACATGGAGAGATTTTATCGCCAAGGTTGTCACCAAGTGAACGTTTGGCGCCAGAAACCACCAAAGTGAAAGTTGAACTTCCCCAAACACCGCAGTGCAGGGTTTGGGGGAAGCGAGTGAGAGACTGGGTGAATGGATGAGCAATTAATTTCATTAATCAGTTAGCGAGTCAGAGAATGAGCAAGGGAACGAGTGAATGAGTACATTATTAAGAGAATGCATGATGACGAGACTTGGTAAATTGGTGAATGATTACGAGCATGAACGAGTGAATGCTTAAGAGACCGAGTGAATAATCGAAGTAATGAATGAGCAAATCGGAGAATGAATGAGACACTGAGTGCATGGGTGAATGATTAAGATAATGAATGAATGTGCGAGTCAGAATGATTGAGACTGAGTGAAAGATTAAGAGATTAGTGACTGAGTGAATGATCAAGACAATGAGTGAGCGAGTTGGATAATGAGTAAGCGACCGAGTGCATGGGTGAATGATTAAGAGAATGAGTGGACGATTCAGAGATTGAGTGAATGAGTGCGGGTCCTGGTGAGTGAGTGGCTAAATGACCGAGTTAAACGGAGTGAGAGACTCCAGCGTCGTTCAGTATTGGACGACGCAAGCCTCACCCACACACTCCCAGGAATTGTTCTTTAAGGGAAGTTTTTTTTTACCACGGGATGTTGAGGTCAATTCTATTTTATTATTACACGCTCTTTATTAACTCACTCTGCTGTTGTTGTTGTCGTTGTATCCTCAAATCTTGTCACTCAATTTTAACCCACTTCCCAATGTGGTATCGACTGCAAACTTGGTATACTCATGTCACACTGATGTCAATACTATATTCTATCATAAAAAAATAAAAAAACATTTTTAAACATTATTTTTTATATGTTATGTTTCGGCTTGGGTCTCATTGTCCACAGTAAACTCACATTGGCTGTAAGTGAACACGGTCCCTTACGTTATGGCAAGCTTCGGGGCCACTTCCTGGAGTCGTGGAGTTCTGCCATTACGAGTACATTTCATAAAAGCGTGTTTAAAAAAAAGTTTTTTTTAAAATATTGCTTATTAGAGGGAGATGTTACGCAAGAAAGCACTATGTATATTTAACTTCTTTCGCACCGTATGTTGCCAACCGTGCTACTCGGAGGTGCGGGGGAAGGAGAACAAACGAAACGTAAAAATCAGTTCTAAAGAAATTAGTTTTCTGTTTAGAAATAAAAGTGCAAAGCTCCATTGGCTTCCTAATATCGGAAGGAAGAGCGTTCCAGACGGTCACAGAAGCGCATCTGAAAGCGAGCGATGCAGTGACTGTTTTTGTGTGTGGCTGAGTGGGGTGTGTAGCGGTTAGCGAGCTGCCCTACGAAACCGGCAACCGTAGTTCAATTCCCGCTCACGGTCAACAGCAGTGACGATTTTCACCGAGATTGACTCAGCCTCAAATGAGTACCTGGTGAATATCGCCACTAAGGAGACAAAGGCGGCCGGGCGTGGTGCTGGCCACCCACCCCTTCGTGTGCCGTGTCGGCCTTCCTTGCCCTAACAGTCTGTAACGGCCATACGGGGGATCTTTGTCTTTTATGGCTGAGTGGACGTGTAGGTGAGTGTATGGGTGAGCGAGGGGGTGAGCGAGAGAGGGGATGAGTGAGTGGGTTAGTGAGGCAGTGAGGGAGAGCGCATGTGGCTGAGTGGTTGAGTAGGTGAGTGAGTGGATGAGTGAGTGGATGCATGAGTAGGTGGATGAATGAGTGGGCAAGTGAGTTGGTGAGTAAGAGTAGGTGAGTGGGTGGGTGAGTGGTTGAGTAAGTTGGTGAGTGAGCGAATTATTGAGCAATCGGGTTAGTGAGTGGGTGGGCAAGTGGGTTAGATTAACACGTAGGCTGTCGCAACCAATATTATCCATAATGGAGGTTTTGTTTTCGATTAGATCGCGTAAATATAAATGTCCTTAAACCCGCCACCATCCGATTACAGCTAATTAGTTAGGTTTGTCACGTAAACAAAACATGGCAATTTGTTACTAGTTCCGCACACCACTATTTTGGAGAGTAAACCCACAACGTTTACAATTCGAGTACGACATTTTGCCGGTAACTGCAACCAGCCTCATCAGGCGACAGCCAGATTTGTGGAGAAATCCTCCTGTTTAGATCTTAAATAGAGGGATGAATGTGATGTCACGTGAGCCAATCAGGTGCCAGGAACAGTGGGGGGAGGGGGTTAATGTTATTATATAAATGAGCAGGAACCTGCGGAACTTCCGTGAGGATTTTGTGAAGAGGAGCGGGGCGCGACTTAAAAACTCCACTCACATCATTTCCCCACTATTCTCCATCATCACTGCCCATCACTGTTCTCTACCCATTCCCATCACCCTGTACCCCCTCCACATTCCAGTTGCTTTCCCCATCAAACCAAAGCCACCCTTCCCATCAGCATGACCCCCATCCTTCCCGCAATCACCCTCTCCACCCCCACTTACATCACCAATCTTCACCACTCCATCCTCATCACCTTACCAACCCGAGTCCCATCATCACCATCAAGCTGGCCCATCACTGTAATTACGACCAGCATGGTAAAATGATGGTGAATATGTCGTCGCATTTTTAACGTATAATATATTATAAATTTAAATATTTTAGTATGTTTATTTTATGTACATTGTAACTTTACAGGCCAAAACTTCACGGTAGACAATGTTGTGTTTCACCATTTTGACTTGGCGTTTTCTTTGGCTCTCGGAGTCGAGAATGTTGATTAGAACATCTGTAAGAGCCCTTGCTCGATAAAATGCCACGTAGAGTTGGCCATGGGAGAAGTCTGGCTGTGGTAAGTAAATGCCAACCATGTCAAATGTCTGGCCTTGTGCCTTGTGGATTGCACTATGTAACATAATTTTTGTTCCTGGATAGTAAGTGTGATTTGTCATTGCTTATGCCTAAAAAGTATAGAAAATGGCTGTTATTCCCCACAAACTTTGCTTTTGTAATTTTGAAATTTATCTATTTTAAATGAGAAAACGGGAGAATTTGTGTATTTTCGTTCACATACAGTCAGAAAAAAACAACATGAATTTAAATTAACAAGTATTTATACTAAAGTAATACAAAAATGACTACAAAAGATTTGGAAGTAGTTTTTCGAGATTTACGATTATACTGTAAATCAAATTCACGAATCAGCCCCCAAATATAGTCTCCCATCATGTTCTCATTATACTGTCCTTGGTAGCTCGCCTTGCTTCTCCAAGTACGTTCCCATGTTCTCCTTGAATTTATCAAGATGAGCATCAAGGATATGGACTTTGAGGGACATCCTACTGCCCATTGTGCTGTAGTTCTTCACCAGTCTCAACCAGCTCCACATAATTTTTGACCTTTTGATTGCCCAGGAAGCCACGAACCGCGACAACAAAGCTGTTCCAAGCCGCTTTCTCCTTACTAGTGAGCTTCTTGGGGAATTCATTGCACTCCAGGATCTTCTTTATCTGTGGTCCGACAAAGACGCCGGCTTTGACCTTTGCCTCAGTCTGCTTAGGGAAGAAGTCTTGAAGGTACTTGAAGGCTGCTGACTCCTTATCTACAGCTCTGACAAATTGTTTCATAAGGCCCAATTTGTATGTGCAGTGATGGCATCAGCACCTTCCGGGGGTCCACCAGTGGCTCCCACTTGACGTTCCTCCCCACAGAGAACTCGGTCCGCTGTGGCCAGTCCCACCTGTGGTAGTGTGCCTTGGTGTACCTGCTGTCCAAAAGGCCAAGATAGCAGGGAAACTTGGTAAAACCGTCTTGGAGACCCATCAGGAATACCACCATTTTGAAGTCTCT